GTCATAACTTTCCTTCCAAGGAGTAAGCGTCTTTTAATTTCATGGCTGCAGTCACCATCTGCAGTGATTTTGGAGCCCAAAAAAATAAAGTCTTCCACTGTTTCCCCATCTATTTCCCATGAAGTGATGGGACCGGATGCCATGATCTTAGTTTTCTGAATGTTGAATTTTAAGCTAACTTTTTCACTCTCCTCTTTCACTTTCATCAAGAGGCTGTTTAGTTCTTCTTCACTTTGAAGGTTAGTTTTTATTTCTGCTTGTTCATTTTTCCATAGTACCCTGTCCCTGTCATATGAATACAGTGTCCTCTCTTATTTCTTTGAGACCGTTGTAATTTTAATTTATTCTGCTCCCAGCATCATCTTATTTTCTCCAAGAGCATTCTTTTAAGTTGAAGATTTTTTTTAACCTATTTTTATACAAATCTGGTACTCGTTGGTTGTCTGAAAATATTCAAGCCTGAGGTTCTAAAAGCTGATTGGATGCCCTGTGGAACAGGGTGTGGGGATTAATGCTGGACTTACCATAGGGGTCAGGCTGGTGGTGACCGTGGCCTCCCAGATGTGGAAATCTGGAGGTCTTGTCTCTGGCTTGGCTGCCAGCGTCCTGAGCTCAGGGCAGGAAACGAGGTTCAGATGACGCCCAGCTCCTGAAGCCACTGAGAAAACAGCAGTTCCTTTTGCCATGTGTTGTGCCCACTTCTCGCCCTGCAGCTCCTCAGTTGTCAGAGAGCAAAGTACATGGGAGAATATGGTCCCCCCAGGAGTGGCCCCAAAAGTGAGAGGGAAGGCACGTGCATTTCATTTTTGAGTGTGAGCCCGGGGACACCGAAGCCCGGCTGGCAGATCTGAGTTCTTTCTCAGCTGTAATTACCTGCTTCTCTTTTCCGCAGGGGCTGAACTGCACAGTCAAGAACAGTAAGTCATGGTTTTTCCTTTTCTTGAGTTGCCCTGATGCGGCGCTGACCCCATACTGAGTTGACAAGGGACCCAGTCCCCAGTGGGAGGACCCCTAAGACTCGGGGCTGCTCCTGTCATCAGGGTTTTGAAAGAATTCTCTGGGGCACTGCAATACGACCTGGCGAGTCTGCGGTATGACCCTTTAGCCAGAGCTATCACCCTGCAGTGTGCAATATCTGGGGTGGGATCTTGTTTTGTGTTTTAATTCAAGGAGGAGGTGCACCGTTCAGGAGTCCGTGCTCATTAGGGACCCAACACATAAAAACAGAGCAACTCTTAGAGCTGCCCCCTGTCTCCTGCCCACATCCAACCACTGCTTCATCTCAAAGCCACAGGCGTGCTTTGTCATCTCTCCTGTAATGTCAGAGCTTTGCCATGACCCCCAAAGGGCATCAAGAGAGCTGTGAGCCCAGTTTTGGTCTTAGGGTCACGGCCTGACCGTGAAGGCTCCTGGACCCCGCCAGGCATCCTCTTTTGGCTGCATCTCTGTCCCTTAGAGCCCACAAGCCTCTGATTTCTGCCTCTCCTGCTCCCAGGTACCTGCCTGGACGACAGCTGGATCCATCCTCGGAACCTCACCCCCTCATCCCCCAAAAACGTGCAGACCCAGCTGCGCTTCGCCAGCACACAGCAAGGACACCTGCTTCCTGTGGTTCACATCGAGTGGACACTGCAGACCGATGGTGAGTGGGCGTTCAGGGTGCTGCCCACCTCTGGGTGGGTCCACAGACTGGGCCTCCCAGCCCTCCCACCAGACTCAGAATTGGGCTCCCGGCCCTGTGCTCAGACATGAGGGCCAGTTCAGAGAAAGGACCCGTCAGTTCAGGCAGTGAGTCCTTTTTCAGAGTTCTAGATGTTAACCCACCATCCTCCTTTGAAGGCCTTTCTTCAGCCCCAAATCTTCATCACCCTGGAAAACACATCTGGTCATGAACCATCTGACTGCAGGCTGGCCCTTCTGACAGCACCCCATCCCACCCCAGCCTCTTGGGGGTGGAGCTGTGTGCACTCCTGGGAAAAGTGGGTGACGAGGGTGCCCAGGCCTGTGGATGGCCAGGTGAGTCCCTTGCTGAGGCTCATGCAAGGGGTCCTCAAGGTCGAGGACCCCCCTCTGACACCCACAGTCAGTGTCCCCAGCAGCCTAGCCACGAATTTGCAAAGCTTTCACTTTTGGCCCGGGGTAAAACATCCTCGTCCCTCTCCAGCGAGGGGTAGCTGCCCAGAGGCAGTGGCTAACCCAGCCCAGAGGAAGCTGGAAGGAGCAGGAAGCAGGGGATAGATGGCACGCATAGCAGACAGGAAATGACCCCCCACTCCCCGGCAGCTAGCCATCCTTGGTCTCACCTGTGCTCCTCTCCTCCCTCGACCTCCAGCCAGCGTCCTCTACCTGGAGGGGGCGGAGCTGTCCATCCTGCAGCTGAACACCAACGAGCGTCTGTGTGTCAGGTTTGAGTTTCTGACCACACTGAGGCATCATTACAAGCGGGTAAGAGTCCCACCAGGGTGGGCGGTGGTGACTGTGGGGAGTGGTGTGCACACACATACCTACATGCACACATGCATGCACCCTGCTCTTCCTCCCAATCTCATGTCACGGCTTGCTGTTGGGAAGGCGGCTTCCTTGGCCGGCGTCTGCTGTCAGCCAGGGTCTCCTCCAGGAGGAGGGGCCCTGCCCAGCGCGGAGCAGCCATGGTTTCCAGCGCAGTTTCTGGTCCTTCTACTTCTTAGAGCCAGAATGGGTTCGTGTTTAGCTTGGTCAAAGCACTGATTCCCAGTGTGTAGTCCCAAGCCCGGCAGCAACACCTGGGGATTGCTAGAAATGCAGGTTCCAGGTACCCCCCCCAGACCTCCTGAACCAGAGGCTGGAGTGTTCAAATGGCAGCAATTGGTGGTGACAAGCTGTCCAGTTGATCCTGACGCAGGCTCGTCTCAATTCTGCCGATTTACGACTAAGAAGTGGCCACAGGCAGAGCTCCCACTAACACAAGCAGCAAAGACAGATCCCCTGTCCTGTGTTTAGTGAGGATGAGACCCCCAAACTACTGCCAGGAGGATGGAGAGGACCAGGGACCCAAAGTGGTCCACCAGGGAAGCTGGAGTCAGTGCATCTCAGAAAAAGTTTGAGCGGCAAACTTTTTTGTTTGTTGGCCAGAAAAAGTTTTCAGACCGATGGTGAGTGGGCGTTCAGGGTGCTGCCCACCTCTGGGTGGGTCCACAGACTGGGCCTCCCAGCCCTCCCACCAGACTCAGAATTGGGCTCCCGGCCCTGTGCTCAGACATGAGGGCCAGTTCAGAGAAAGGACCCGTCAGTTCAGGCAGTGAGTCCTTTTTCAGAGTTCTAGATGTTAACCCACCATCCTCCACGGAAGGCCTTTCTTCAGCCCCAAATCTTCATCACCCTGGAAAACACATCTGGTCATGAACCATCTGACTGCAGGCTGGCCCTTCTGACAGCACCCCATCCCACCCCAGCCTCTTGGGGGTGGAGCTGTGTGCACTCCTGGGAAAAGTGGGTGACGAGGGTGCCCAGGCCTGTGGATGGCCAGGTGAGTCCCTTGCTGAGGCTCATGCAAGGGGTCCTCAAGGTCGAGGACCCCCCTCTGACACCCACAGTCAGTGTCCCCAGCAGCCTAGCCACGAATTTGCAAAGCTTTCACTTTTGGCCCGGGGTAAAACATCCTCGTCCCTCTCCAGCGAGGGGTAGCTGCCCAGAGGCAGTGGCTAACCCAGCCCAGAGGAAGCTGGAAGGAGCAGGAAGCAGGGGATAGATGGCACGCATAGCAGACAGGAAATGACCCCCCACTCCCCGGCAGCTAGCCATCCTTGGTCTCACCTGTGCTCCTCTCCTCCCTCGACCTCCAGCCAGCGTCCTCTACCTGGAGGGGGCGGAGCTGTCCATCCTGCAGCTGAACACCAACGAGCGTCTGTGTGTCAGGTTTGAGTTTCTGACCACACTGAGGCATCATTACAAGCGGGTAAGAGTCCCACCAGGGTGGGCGGTGGTGACTGTGGGGAGTGGTGTGCACACACATACCTACATGCACACATGCATGCACCCTGCTCTTCCTCCCAATCTCATGTCACGGCTTGCTGTTGGGAAGGCGGCTTCCTTGGCCGGCGTCTGCTGTCAGCCAGGGTCTCCTCCAGGAGGAGGGGCCCTGCCCAGCGCGGAGCAGCCATGGTTTCCAGCGCAGTTTCTGGTCCTTCTACTTCTTAGAGCCAGAATGGGTTCGTGTTTAGCTTGGTCAAAGCACTGATTCCCAGTGTGTAGTCCCAAGCCCGGCAGCAACACCTGGGGATTGCTAGAAATGCAGGTTCCAGGTACCCCCCCCAGACCTCCTGAACCAGAGGCTGGAGTGTTCAAATGGCAGCAATTGGTGGTGACAAGCTGTCCAGTTGATCCTGACGCAGGCTCGTCTCAATTCTGCCGATTTACGACTAAGAAGTGGCCACAGGCAGAGCTCCCACTAACACAAGCAGCAAAGACAGATCCCCTGTCCTGTGTTTAGTGAGGATGAGACCCCCAAACTACTGCCAGGAGGATGGAGAGGACCAGGGACCCAAAGTGGTCCACCAGGGAAGCTGGAGTCAGTGCATCTCAGAAAAAGTTTGAGCGGCAAACTTTTTTGTTTGTTGGCCAGAAAAAGTTTAAGCAACAATGGCGCCGTCAGGCCCAGGGAGTGGACAGGCCCAGGGAGTGGACGGGGGACCTCGTAGCCTCCCACTGTATATTCATGCTCCAGAGACCCTGCTTTCCCTTCCACGGGGCAGAGCCATGTAACAAGTGGTCTTTAGCTGCCCCTGGGTCCCAGCAGCCTGCAGCCCTGGAGTTGGAGAGGACTGATGGGGGAGGGGTACCTTCAACCTCCCCCACATTCTCTTGCCTTTGGCCCTGCTGTCTCCTGATGAGGCCAGAGCCAGGTGTTTTTAAACAGGCAGGAAGACCAGAAGAAACACAGAACAGGGTCACAATGCCTCTGACTTTGGAGCTTGCGCCATGGTTGTTCTCTCCCTGTGTTGATGGATCCTTTAGGGGCAGGTGGAAAGATCTTTGGGCTCAGGTAAGAGCTGTGACCGTTTGACCTCCCCTCCTCCTGTCTCCTAGTGGCGATTTGCCTTCAATCACTTCGTGGTAGAACCCGGAGAGGAGTATGAGGTGACCGTCCACCACCTGCCTAAGCCCATCCCTGACGGGGACCCAAACCACCAATCCAGAAACTTCCTGGTGCCCGGTAAGAGCACCCCCCAGCCTGCCCTTCACCTCTCACTCTGTGGTCAGCCTGTGGAACCCACAGGACAAACAGGTTAAGGACCAGGGCTCCTTGGTGAGGGGCTGCAGCCTCCACTCCCTAAGGTGGAGCATTCTCTGTGGCACCAACTTAGTGTTGGCCCAAGACCCCAGTAGTTTTATGGGAACCGAGTCCTTCATCTGGCATTTCCTGCCCAGAAAGTGTCGGGAAGACAGGCCTGTCCCGAGAGAGCTGTGGCCTCACTCCCCACCCCGTCCCAGCCCTGGCCCCTCACTCTTGCCATGTCCCACCTGCATGTGTCTGGCACCAGCCCCTCTTTCCCTGCTCCCTCCTCCTGGGAGGCTTGCCAGGCTCATCTTCCAAAACAGCATTTGATGCATCTGCACCTCTGGGTGCATCTCTGTCCTCCCTGGAGTCTCTGCCACAGTCTGCCTTTCTCGCTGTCTGGAGCCAAGGGCACCTGAATGCCCAGCCCCTGGAGGACATGGCCTGGGCCTTACACCCACCTGGACAGCCTCCAGACCTTTGTGAATGGCCCTGCATGTGGGAGGCGATTGGGAAATGCTTGCTGAGGCCATCCACATTGCTGGAGCACCCCTTGCACACACAAAACATGCACACACACACACCCATGTATACAAAGAGATGTGCATGTGCATGAAATTCACTCACATACACGCATGCACAGACGTGTGTGTGCGCGCATGTACACACACATGTGCACTCATATTCTGCTCACCCAGCTTTGTTTCCCCTTTTATGTCACTCCCCATTCCTAACATGCCAGCATCTTGACATAGTCGTGACATGATATCACAGTTTCCTTCTATGGTCCCTCCAGCTGGAATGGCATCGCCGGAGGGCAGGGATTTCATCTCACTCCTGGCTATATCTCCCAGGCCTCACACAGCACCTGGCACGTACTAGGGGCTCAATAAGTATTTGTCAAATGAATGACACTCCCGGATCCCCTTCCTAACCCCCATCCCTAAAGTGGACTGACTCAGCCCCTGTCGCTCACAGTGATTCACACCTGTCATGTCTTCTTAAACCAATAAAAATGCTGCAGTCAAGGAAATGGGGGGTGAAGAAGCCATCTCCGGGGGAGCGGTCCTCACAGGGTCCCTGGGTTGGCAGTGCCATGGAATCACCTGGGAACTTGTCAGAAATGCAGCTTCCCAGGCCTACCTAAGACGGGGCTGAACCCACGAATCCCATGAGCATATGTGGAAGTTGGGGAAACGTCACCATTTGCCGAGAGGGACAAAGCCCATCTCCCCTCAAGGGCAGAAGCAGGTCCAGGGAGGGAGCCCCCAGAGAGGGGGAACAGGAGTAGACCAGGACCCCTCAGTCCCAGAGCAAGTCTGGGGAGGGGGCTTCTGCCTGGATCTGGAAGTTTCTGGAGGGATGAGTGGTGAGATGTTCAGGGATGCCCCAGGCCTAGGGCCTCTGACCCATGGCAGCGTCCATTCTGGAGCTCCTCTGAAGGGGCCACCTTTGGACAGGCTCCCAGAAAGCAGACGGTTGCTACCTCTGGCGTTGGAGGTTCTGTAAGACGAGCTCTCCAAGGCAGGGGCTAACGGTTGCACTTCTCCCCGGTCCACAGACTGCGATGACCCCAGGATGAAGGACACCACACCATGCGTGAGCTCAGGTAACCGTGGGGGCGACTGTGTGGGAGCTTTACTTGGGTCACACACACATGCACGCAGATACACAAGCATGCGCANCCCCCCCCCCGCCTTGACTCCCGGTCACATTGTGCCCCGTGGGATAGGCAGCCTGTGGGACCCCAACATCACCGTGGAGACCCTCGAGGCCCACCAGCTGCGGCTGAGCTTCACCCCGTGGAACGAGTCCACCAGTTACCAGGTCCTGCTGCATAGCTTCCCGCTCGCAGAGAACCGGAGCTGCTTCCGACATGTCGTCGACCTGCCCGTGGTAACTGCCCTCCCTGCTGCTTTCCTAACCCATCAGCCTGGCCCAGAGCACCCTCTCCATCCTCAAGGGCCAGGCGCTCGGGCTGGGTTTAGAGCATGTGACCTCCTTTCCCCTGTGTGCAGAAGTGAAGCTGGTGTGCAGTTGGAGAGTGGCTGGCGTGAGGTGGGTGTGTGGCTGGTGTGTAGATGATGTGTGGCTGGTGTGTGACTGGCATGTGGCTGGTGTGCAGTTGGAATGTGGCTGGTGTACAGCTGGTGTGTGGCTGCGTGTGGCTGGTATGCAGTTGCTCTTGCAGCTGACAGGAGCACCCAGCCCTCTGTCCTCCCCTCCCCCATATTCTCCTGGTCCTCTTTCTGCTTTGTTAATTTCATGATTGCAAAGAGGATTTGAAGACTGTACAATGTGGACATGAGGACAAGGGGGGTCAAGGTAGGGAGTAAGACGGAGCCAGGGTGGGGCCGCTGCAGGACACATGCGTCTAACCCTTAGATCCGCGGTGGCCCGGGCGTCTGATGTGGTCCTGGGGATGCAGTCCTGGGGACGGCCGCTCCTCCTGGAGCTGGACCTGCAGCCCTTCTCCCCAGGAAGGGGGCCCCCGGGGCGCATGCCAGCCGGGGCCGGGGCCTCACTGTCCCTCCACCCTGCAGCCCGCACAGGAAGCCGTCCAGCAGCGCTGCCACATCACGGTCACCCTGCCGGACTCCAGCTGGTGCTGCCGGCACCATGTGCAGGTGGGGAGCAGGGCAGGCCGAGGTGGGCGAAGGGCAGGTGGGCAGCTGGGGGGTCACGCTCCCCTGGACCCAGCACCGCTGCCGCCTGGGGATTTCCTGCCCAGCCACCAGCCTCGCCCAGGCGAGGTCCTCCACCCCCTCCCACTGACGGGCCACCTGCCTGGCAGCCAT